AAACTCCTGCAGTAGCCCCTTTGTCTGAGTAGGGGAGGCCTTATTTATTGTCCCCATTACACGTTTTCAGCGCTCTGTGCTTGTACAGGACAGTAGGATTTATAAATCCGACTTACCTCCGTGTTGTCTAATCTCACTTGCTCATATTCGGAATTTTAGGGGCATACTCACAAATTTCTTAGCAAATGCTTAAAGGTGTCACACCTTCTATAGCCTCTGCAGCTAAAATAGAAACGAATGTGAATGAAATCTTGAAAATCAAAGCCTTTCTCCAACCATACATAATACAGTCCAGCAATGCTGAGTCTCACTCTTGCTTTTAACTATGCCATAAACTGCACATTACAGTAAAATTTTCTGATGCATTTCTTGAAATGTAACCATATAGGTGGAAAAATATTATCTGTCTTCTGGTGGCAAAATCCATTTCTCCTTTTGCTATACAGTAATACTTACCGGCAATACAGACATTTATTTCATTTACCATCTTGCTGCCCCTGCTTCATAACTTCTTTCTCTGGAATGCAGGACCCAGAAATGTAACAACATTCATTTTGCTCCTCTATCCCTCACACTGCCCTGCAGTGCATTTAATTTTGTGCTCACAACTGGTAATGATGATGGACTCTCAGCTCGCAGACAGTGATGCCCCCAAATGGTACAACCACTCTGAGAACTACTTGGATTCCTAACTGTAAGTCTCTAGGAGAGAGACTGGTGTTGCAGAGCAATCTGCAGGTATCTGAGACATTTGCACAGGGTTTATAGATAGGATAAAGCATCTATTCTGAGACCTGAATCCTTCAAGGACTCTCTTCAGCACCCTGAATTGCTTCCCAGTATTACGAACTCCCCATCCAAATGGCATTCACTGTCAGGATCTAGCCTTCGTGTCCTCTCAGCCACCAGCTTCTAAGTGTTTGGTTTCAAACAATAGTATGAATTTCCAGAGGCTGACATCTCTCTCCCAGGAACCAAGCTTGTTTCATAGCAGCAACCAAGCGAGATACTACCACCACGATCTACAGAAGTCTGGTGATTATGAAGTCCTCCAACCATTTTGCTTCCCTAAAATGTGATATCCTAGCATAGGTATGGGTGGCATGAAAATAGAAACTTGCAGTGGGGGTTTCATTAACAGCACTGAAAAGGGCTACCTTTTCAGAAAGGGTTATCTAACACAGTCCTCTTGCAAGGCGTATGTATAATTTTACCTGGTTTTTCATGGTTATTACCCTGGTCATAAGGGTCTCCAATATATTAAAGAGTCCAGGCACATATACATACACATACACAAAGACTTCAAGAGAAAATCAGAAGTATAGATGAATTCCACATTGAAGTGAATGGAGCTAGAGAAATAAAAAAAAATGAGAGATTGATATGAAAAAAATATCTAAAGAGGTACTGATTACTATAGGCTCAAACAGCCCTGCTTGCAATGATGCTTTTTAAACAGTAGCTGTTTGAGTATAAGGTGCTGTGAAGAGCAATTAAGAAAACAAAACTAACCAGAACCTTTGAGAGCTTCCCTTCTGCTGCTGCTCTCATCAAACGCTGTCTTTGTTGTGTCCCAAGAGTAATTTCTCATGCAGACTATGTATTTTTCTACCATTAATAGAGCTTTCCACAGCACTTAGCCAAGGTCAGTCAACTTTGATGAAAACCTGGTGGGTCACGGTCACTCCATTTTAATTTGCCACAGCGTGGCCTTCTCTTTCTCTTCCTTTCTCCCTAGAGACTCATCTCCAGGGATGTGGCATGTCTACAAGGCTTGTTGTTGGGAAAACTGAGAAATGTCAAGTTTTGGCCTGACAGAACAGGGGCCTGGACGACTCTTGGAAGGAGCAGGCCGAACAGAGGGCCTCAGTTCCTCTGTAAAAGAAAGATCAGTGTTTCCTCCTTACTCAGGTCTGTCTATGATCCTCCACGTTCCCATCTCTGTCCTAGTTCACTGTATTCTGTATTTTGTGAAACAGTATGTCTGAATAAGCAACCAGTTCCTCCCAAGGTTCATCCACCCTCAGAAGGTATAAGGACACACATACAAGACTAATGGTGCAGCAACAGAATGCAGCTTCTCCTTCTTCTCCAACAGCAGCTCATGAGACTGGTCCTCAGTGCTGCTGGAGTAGAAATGAAGTCCAGTGAATTAAACTATCACTATTTGCATACTTGAGTCTTAATTCAATCCAAGTATGGAAACTCTGACACTTGGGTCACTTGAATTAGCACTGGTGACTATTCAAGTCTTGAATCTCCTGCCTTAACTCATCTGAGATAAAGCCCACCAAAGCCAATTGGAATCAAAAGATTTGGTATTGGGCTCCAACATAATTAAACAGTAAATTATATTAACATACTTTTTCTCAATGTACATTTTGCTAAAAAAAAAAACCCTCACATAATTATGGTCACAATGGATCTTTACTAATGGTTAAAACCACCCTGAAAGAAGCATTTTTAGTAATTTTTAGGGCTATGTAGATAAGATGGAACCTTTAGTGTTTCAAAAACGCAAACAATGTTTATTTGCTGCTCATAAGTAATTCATGGACCCAACAATATTCAACAAAACTTCTTCATTTTTAAAAGATTTCTTAATGAGCATCATTTTACAGAAAACCACCAACAAATAAATATATGAAAACAATTGCTTTTGACATCACAATGGTTAAACACATTAAATAATTCTTAAATTGTGCTTTACATCAATGAAAATCCCTAGGTCTACAAACTATCTTGTAAATAGGAATAAAAGTAGATATGGTTACTCACAATACAATCTCTTAGTAGCAGAGTTCACACACATTATTGCACATAAACAGAAGGAAAATTCCTAAAGAATAAAGTAATTTACAGCCTATTAATTTACCCTTTCATCTTAAATATGGCAACTGATGGGAACTCTTGATTTTTTATTTTTCACTGCCAACATTTATTTGAAATCACAGAACTATTGATATGGCCAAGAAGAAAGCCAAGGACATTGTAGGCTATGGAATCCATTCCCTCCACAAAATATCAACAAAGAACTTATTACAAGAACTAAACTGAAAGAAGTGTTTCAGTGCAAACCGAGTACCTTTTCGAAGCATGCTTTTGCCACATGTAGGGAGGATACAGCAATCTGCTCCAGCAGAATGAATTTATTCGCCTTGTACAGAGTAGCTCCACCAGCCTGCAAACAAGGTATTCCTTATCCCAGACCAAAAAAGTCCACACATACCAGGGGAACAGCAATGGAGGGAAAAAAAAAAGTTTCAGTGAGATAGGTTTTATAACATCAGTGCTCATAAATGATACAAGACTGTGGGTGGGAAACAAGAACCTACTACTGCAGAAGGAAGAATGTGTTAACGAGAAAGCCAATATGAGAAACCTCCTGGTTTAGCAGTGGATGTAAAATCTGAAACATCTGCAGGTGCAAAAGTGATGTGACCTGCCATTTGGTTTGGTTAGGAAGTTTGGCTCTGCATCTGACTTCCATCACTTTTTCTGCTCTGTACTTCTGTTTTTAGTGAACTGCAAATAACTACCGCATATTGGGTCGCAGCCTCCCTGTTAACACGGCTGCAGTGAAGAATAGCCAACATCAGAAACAGTGGTCTTCTCTTTCTTCATGGTGAAAAAGGTTTTTTTTGTTAGCACTGATGAGTGGGGAAGAAAGGATAAACTTTCATTCCTTAATAAAGTATGTCCCAGAGGCACTAGGCTGAGTTCTTGGACTAGACATCGAATTACCAGGAACAAGTTTTAATGACAGAGTATGTTTCTCTGTCTGCTCCAAGCCTACAGTGAGTTATAACTGGAAAAGGCAGCCAGTGCTGAGGATGTGATGAGAGAGATTAGCAAGTACATCTCCATTACAAAAGAATGAGATTTGTTTCAGCACCACAGTAGCAGAAGCCAGATTGCCTTGTTTAAGCAACAAAATAATGCCAGGATGATGGACAGAAATCCTATAGCGCTGTTGCTCACAAAGGTTTTGAAAGAAACATGCTGTGCTCCCATCTTATACCAGCCAGTGTAATTACAGCAAAGTCCGTGCTGTCAGAGGAACGAAAACCTGGAGTAAGAGAGATACGAACCAGAGCCTTTATTTTGCTTTTGCGTTACATTATTTCAGGCACCGTGCCCACGAGGAAAAAAGCCGCAAGCCTGCGTCTTAGAAGTCGGCCTGAAAGTATTTCCAAACTGCTTTATTTGTCATGTGCCAGGCAATTCTGCTAAGAATCCCAGCGTTGCTGGTGCGGTGAGCTTTCCGGATCTGCTGCTGGACCTGGGGAAGGAGGTGGTGGGTTCCTTTGGTCCTGGGGGCAATGGGCAAGATCTCAGCTGCTGGATGCTCCCCCTCTGCTGCTGCTGCACAACCAGGGCTACCTGCTACACAGGCTCCAGGGACAAAAAAACCAACCCAACAAAACAACTTCAATTTTAACTAAATCCCCAGCATAATCCCGTTAACATAGATGCTACAGCACATTAGCAGCTCTTCAGGACCCTCATCTCGTCTCCCGGGAAATGGCTGATGAAAAGGTTAGGCATCGCATTAAGGTATTGCCAAACTATTAAAGCTAATGTAAACTGCTCGAAGACTGCTTCGATCTTCCTCATTAGGCTTTGTTTGGTTGTCAGGCAGAAGGAATAGTCTGGAGAAGGGCTGGTATGCTCAGACATCTGAAACTGATACTTACAGTCACTGGTGAGGCTGCAGGGAACAATTTCTCAGCTCTCTCTCCTGAAGAGGTAACACTGCATTTTCTAAATGAAAAATAAGGCCCCCATTGCTGTGAGTGGTACAGAGAGGTGGCCTGCTGGGGAAAGAGGCAGGCACACAAGGAAGGAGACCCTTTTGTCATGCTTAGGAGGAAGGGTTTCTAAAATCAGAGGGCTGGAGCACCTCTCCTATGAAGACAGGCTGAGAGATCTGGAGAAGAGAAGGCTCTGGGGAGACCTCATAGCAGCCTTCCAGTACCTGAAGAGAGCCTGCAGGAGAGATGGGGAGGGTGAGGAGGGACTTTTTTTCAGGAAGTATAGCAATAGGATGAGGGGTAATGGTTTTAAATTGAAAGAGGGGAGATTCAGATTAGATACTAGAAAAAAATTCTTTACTGTGAGGGTTGTGAGAGACACTGGACCAAGTAGCCCAGAGAAGTTGTGGATGCCCCATCCCTGGAGGTGTTCAAAGCCAGGCTGGATGGGGCTTTGAGCAACCTGCTCTAGTGGGAGGTGTCCCTGCCCATGGCAGGGGGGCTGGAACTCGATGATCTTTAAGGTCCCTTCCAACCCAAACAATTCTATGATTCTATGCAGCAGCTCCCTGTCATCCCTGCATCACCAGCCAGAAAGCTCCTTCCCTCCACAGGGCAAGGTGAGGGCCAGCCCAGCCCGAAGCTCCAGTGCAAGTGGGTAAAATGGCAGCTCACTGCAAATTACCTGCATTGCGCCTAAAGGTGCAATAATACCAGTCAGGCTTAGCTCTTCACGACCTTGCTATCACCCGGAGAGAGCTTCAGTCCTAGACCATAAACATTTCAATTTAATCTCACCTCTCAAGGTAGGTGTCCATACGTGAACGAGGTGTCTGAGTGCCTCTTCCAGGCAATGGGGGTCCAGGCAGTTGTCCATGGAGTCTAGAGAGCTCCTTGCTCTTCTCTAAGGCAGACAACCCATGCTCATCCAGGAGAATAACAATCTGCCATCCCATGTTTTTCCCTTCTGAACACAGAGGTGGGAAGAGATACACATGGTCCACCAGTGGAACAAGTATTAGGTGGGTTTTGGTAAACCCACCGCTCCTCATCCCAAGAGTAGCACACTGACAATCAGGAGTAAAGCAGCATTTTGCTAATAAACTACATTGATAATGAGGCATCATCCCGGTGGCCCTCTTCACTACTTAATAGCTGTTATGATATTCCATGTTTAATGTATTATTGTATGCATTAACTCTCAACAGGATAGTTAGATCATATTTTTGATATTGTGCATAGATAAGTAGCAGTAGCATTGTCTGAAGAAAAGAAGATACCGCATGCAGTGAAAAAAAAAAAAAAAGAATTTGGAAATGAAGGGATAAATTTGCAAATTCAGCCTCTTTTTTTTTTCTGTAACACATTATTTTTTTACCGACTGGATAAAATCTTTGAATTTTGAAAATAAATGAGAAATGTGCATCCGCATCAGGTACTCCGGTATTTCTAATTAGCAAACCTGTAAGGTAAAAGCCATTCATGCATGCAATAATATACTTTCAGCATCTCGATTTAGCAGCCACGTTGAGGCACTTAGAGAAATTTCCTCCTAATGCTTTACATTTATGCTAGAAGAAGAAGGAAAAAAACTCTCTCAAAAGATCTATGGTGCACAGGACCCTTGCTTAAAAATTTCACTATTACGAATGGAACAACATAAAATCTTGGAATAATTAGATGCAGTTTAGCCACAAGGATGTAACATGTGGAGGAAGAACCCATTGAATCTTTTTCTAGACAAGGAAGAAAACCAGATACAGATCTCTCATCGTGAAAACAATAAATTTACAAAGAATTTTCATACAGAGTAATAAATATCAAGACTTTCCACATATCCATTATGCATCCTATAAAAATGAAAGCTGATTTTTTTCTAGCCACTACTGTAGGTAGACAGAAAACCAATTTGAATGGTATTCACTTGGCATCAATGTATTTTAACAGACAATATCATAAACCTGCCTACCTTCACAGACAATATATCTCCAGGCTTTTACAGCAAATCTGGAAAATGTCACACTAATATTTAAGCTTTTCCTGCTCTCTCTTTCCTCTTCCCTGTAGTTTGCTTGGCCCCTCTTCACCTTTTGTGAATGTGAAGGCTGATTTCATTGCCTTCAGGCAGATAATCTTCACGATGTGTGCCCAGCTGCCACGTGGACCTCATTTCTCAAGGCTTTCCCTTTGCCACACAGGCTCAGAAAGACGGCTGTTACATGGCTGGGCTTGGCACTCTCAGCATCTGTGAAGAAATAAGCTAACCTCCCCCATCACTTCACTTATATATCATCTCTGATTGCTGGCTAGCAGAATAGAACAAGCAATGCCCCAATCCCACATTTCCTAGGTCTTTTTTAATCACCCCAGCAAATTCTTCCCTTAATCAAAACACAGCATGTAGAAGTTTGAAGCTTTCCTCCACTTCATTCACTAGAAAACTATGTACTACAGTTGCAAAGGACAGTATGAAATAAACCAGCTCTCACATCACAGAGGAACCAACAGATTTTTTTTTCAATTTTTCATTCATGTCTGCACAAGTTTTGGTAGCCTAGATTGTATAGGGTACGTCTGTTTACACTCTCTCTTCAAACCATCCTTATAGCTTAGGGCTTTGAAGGAAGTCTTTTTGGACAGGAATCTATTCTACTCCCATTTAATAACACTAATTAATGCCAACTGAGAAAAAAATACATTCTCCTCACTGGCAGAAACCAAGAAAAACAGAGACAAGGAGGGGTAGTTGTCAGACGTGGTCTCATTTACCAAAGTGGCTCCTTGGCTAATTCCCAGGTAGCCAAGTTGCACAAACTCTCTGATCCTCTCATTGGTTAGTCAAGATGGAGAAGCGTCACCACCTTGCGACTTGACTATTGTAATCTTCAGTAACGGTGACTTCTGCTGCCTCTTCCCTTGGCCACTGGTGAGCCCTCTGCTCCCGCAGCAGTCGCCGCTCCTCTCGCCTCTTCAGCCGGTTCTTCTGATGCTCCTCTTGCTTGGAGTACTGGAAGCGCTGCAAAAACAGGTCCTTCGCGTATTCATAAAGCTGCACGTCCAAGAAATTCAGCTCCTCTATCCGTTGCCGCACATCCTCACCGATGTCCACATTGGAGGCCCGGGTAACGTTGAATTGGGTGAAGGGGGAAATGAATTTCAGGTTGAATGTCCTCTCAAAGAGATACTGCGTTTTCCTCTGAAACTCCGTGAGCCCAAAGAAGGCCATGTTTTTCAGATTGTTCTTGGCGCTTTGGAGAAGAATCACATTTCTTTCACTCTCATTCATAAAAGTCAAGTTGTAGCATCCCACCAGGCTGAGGTCTGCCAGCATGCGCACCTGGCGGTTGTTGGCCAAGTTGTAGCTACAATCCATGAATTCCTGTAAAGTAACTCCAGACCAGTCATCTCCTTCGTAACAGGTAGGCAGCTCGTCTGGCGTTGGGCTTCTTCCGTCGCACATATGAAGGGAAGTTTTCCATGTCGCACCCCTCTGGACATGCTTCCATTCACTCAAATACCGTGACACTGGATCCCTCAGCATCGTGATGTAATAGAAATTCCTGAAACATACCATTAAACACAGTTTTAAGATTCAGAGGATTTAAGTTTTCCTATTCTCCAACAAAACGATTACCAGCCACCTCTACCACCGCCTTCCCTTTTTCCAGTGTAATCTAGACATTTTAAGCAACCACTTCTGAGACAGTAAAAAGCTTAAAGCTTCATAAATACTGTGAATAAAATACAAGGTAAATTGGGAGAAAGAGAGAGAGATCAAAGGAAATAAGCAGCTATCAGATAAACGGAATTACCTTGACTTATCAACTGTTCAATGGTAGTTACATTATACAAGAGCCAATTAACTGCAGTGTACTCCCCTCTACTTTGAAATGCTAACCACCAGTAATAGCAGAAACAGTGGGAAAAGAAATTTAAATAATCTTGCCACTTCTCTTCTGGACTGAGACATGCATGTCTCTCTCGATGCACAAGACGATAATCCTTACAGCGCTTGGTCAGAATATAAAAGAAGGATGAGCAATTTCATGTGGATGCTGCAAGTGCTAAAAATAGCACCATGTGGAAGACTGGCATGAGCCACCTACTTGAGAAGAACCCTATTATTAAATGGGTTGGAGTGAAGATAATGAGAGACCCAAAATCCATTCATATGACTTAATTTTAGACAAGTGCTTGATTGAAATTAGTTATAATTGTGTAGTACAAAAGCATTTGTTGATATAAAGATTATCATTATTCAGCCTCACCTGTCATGAATACAAAAGAGACACCAAGAAATATTGATTTGAAATAGAGCAAATAACGGCAGAACTCACATTGTCACTTCATCTTTTAGCTATTGAATTCAGTTTGTACATCTATTTCTGGCAATCTGAAATGGACTGCAATTGAGTATGCTTCAAGCAGGCTTTCACAGATTGAGTTTTTTACTGGGAAATGTTTTATTCAATAAAAACTCACCTGAATTACAGGATGATATCATAAAGACAAAGAAGAACCAAAATACTTATGATTTCTGTCAGCTAGAATAACCAGCAGAAGATTCATGACTAAAATTAACTCACAGTCTGGTACTAAAATTGGCTCGTGAGTTTGCATGACTCATCTGACTGCAAACAATACATTAATAAATCATGAGCCCTAACATTTCTTAAGAAAAGTCTGATCTCAGTACTTTCTTAAGCTTAGAGAATGATGAAGCAAGAAAGCAGGAGGCAAGCTTGCTGCAGACATATAACCCTGTAAACAAACCCACACTTTGTGAGGGCCATCTCATACATGAGCTAACTCCAGTTGAATGAAAAATCTCAAAATTGCTAACAATCTCTAAGACGATTACCTTTTTTTCCCCAGATATTACTAATTTTCTGCCACTAAAGATTCCCTGTAGCTTCTCCATAAACCTCAGGTTTGTCATAAAAACAGGTATTTTCTCACATATTCCTAAAAATACAGTATTTTCCCCAGTGTGAACAAAGCAAAAGGAAAAAAAAAAAGCTGAATGCTTTGTCCTTATTCATTCTGAGTTCTCCCCCTAGAGGATCTGTGCTACATTTTCTGGAATAATATTAGGAGGCAAAACTACAGACTATGTTCTGCTGCAGGGTCATTTCTTGAACTACTGTCTAATGGAAACAGCTGTTTCACAGATTATTTCACAACAGAAGAGCTACAGGTGGAAGGATATAAACCAGGGAGCGCCACGGGTGTATTTTCATTATCGCTTGCATTGGGAACCAGGATTTCTGTTGGTGTCAGATGATATTCTGAAGGATGATATCTCCAAAATAATTTGGGGCTTGGGTTTTCTGGCTGCCACTCACACACGATCAAACTGCACTTCAGCTGTTTTGATCCACGTCAGTTACTTACACAGCCCACATCAACACTGAACCCAAGGATCACACAACAATCCATACAGATATTTCTAAAATCCCTCTTCACTACTCCTGCAGAGCAAGAAGGGCCAGAAATCCTCTTGTGTGCTCTGCAGTATAGTCCCACTGTGAAAATCACCGTCTTTAAGCACTTCAAGCACAGCTTTCCCTTCTCAAATTAGATGCTCATCTCATCATGGCTCTACCTTGCATGTATGAGAGCACATTAAGACGAAAAGTGGACGCACTTCACTAGTGGTGTGCAGGTAAAGCAGTGAAACTCTCAAATACCCATCAGCTCTGAGGGTTGTTGCAACATCCAGCAGGCACCGATGGGGTTATAACAGAAAAATGACTGAAGCTCCAAGGGAGCAGAAATGAAAAAAAAGAAAAAAAAGGACAGAGATTCAGATGCAGTTGCCAACATCTACATTGACAGAGTCATGGCATTGGCTTAGTCCTTGTATTCCTGCCCCTCTCCTCATCAGATAATTTTGGGTGTTGATAGGTGGTAACAGATGGGTTTAAAAGTTGCTCCCGACAATTATTTATGCCTCTAATAATAGTTCTGTCTTTCCTCATCCGTCTCCAGGAGTCCCAGCCAGGCGTGACTCAGAGCAACAACAATTAACAAAAATACCTCCTTTGCATCAATCATTTCCATTTCATCCCTGGATATGCAAACGTGTTTGCTGTGCAATAGGCAGGGGCACAAAGCAAATGCAGGGAAATGAGAACAGCACGTCTCCGTGTAACACCCGCAGCTTCCCTTACGCAGAGGAGGCGAGAAGCTTTCCCCAGTCCTCGTGACTACCTGACTCCTGCACCCGTTTTTCACCGTCCTGATCAATTTGCTTCTGGTTTGTGCATCTTTCAGAGTGTTGCCTCCTGGTCCTATCAACCGAATGGCTTCTTCGTCAGGCAGACAACCTTTCACAGCAGCCTGACACACGTTTAGTTTCCGAGGCACCAACAACCACGAGTGCAGCCATCCCCACCGCGTTCACAGTTCACAACCTTCTGCTTAACCTTCTGTTGGTGACTCTCGGTCACCCTCTTAACCCATCTGAGTTTGGAAGACCCTGAGATTTTTTTCCACCTGATCCAGGCCACTGTCCAGATGACACTGTTTCAACGCTACCCAGAAGACTTGGGGAGTGCTGCACAGCAGCCGTGGTAAAAGATTTTCTTTCAGGGAAAAGGATGTCACGTCTCTAGAATAATGACAGAAGTAAAAATACATAGATCTCGCACATTTCAGTTAGAAAATTATAAAAATTATCTTAGGAAATTGTTTTTAAATGTTGACATTAACGGATTAAATATAGCAGCATTTCAGAGCTCTCAGTGCCTAATACACAGTGTGCAATCACACTAGGAATGGCTGAGGAGTTGGCTCAAAATAAAGACAAAAAGTAGTTCAGAAAAATCTGAAACTAGGGATGGCTTTCAGTCTCTCTTTCCTTCACTGTTCAGTGAAACAGCATCAATTCAGCTACACACTGGCCATCCTGAGCCACTCTGAAGACAGACATGCACTCGTTCTCGTCGGTGTAAATGACCCCCTTGCATTGTCCCTGCTCGTGCTTACATGGCTATGTCAAACTCCACAGCCACCCGCTGTGGGAAATACGCACCAAAGAATTAAGTAATAACTTCTGCTACCCTGTTTGACAAAGCAAACTCATCTCAGACTTATTGGCTTCATTTCAACGGACTCCCATCATCGATTACTCAAACTGCTGTCACAGGCAGCCCTGGTGCTTAAAGGCTAGCCAAGCAGAATAGGCTGGTGTGTCAGTGAGAAGATGTTTTACACAAAGCATTCAAAATTAACTAAAACCCATACAAATTATATCTATATCTGTATCTATATCTCTGTCTATGAGCTCGTGCATGCACGTGTGCCTGTAAACATTTACAGGGGAATCAAACCATAAGCTGCAGTTGGCAATGAAAGAAAAATCACAGTAGATGCATAGTGTGTATTTGCTAATTTATATTGTGACTGTCTATATAAACACACAGACAAGTACAAACACTTCAGATGATACTTCAAAGAACACCAGTTCAACTAGTCGAAACTTTAGCTCTTCCTGAAAGGAAACTTCATACAGCTTCCCCAGATTAAACCGTCTCCTTTTGAGCATAATGTAGTGCAGTTAATGGGGTACTGAAGTCACCACCATGGCACAGTTATTTTTGGACAGATACTAAGCACAGTGATGGTCAGGGCTCGGGCCTGATGATCCACGCAAGGTCCCAAACAAGCACTGTGGCGAAGCAGGGGCTGCACACTACTGTTTACACTAGAATTAAAAAGCAGGAATTCAGAAGGCTCCAGTCCCACTGGCATGAAATCCAGTCTCTTCATTAGCATTAGGCAAAGGAAACCTTTAATTAATAGAAGAGCGAAAATGAGCTTCTAGTTATAACCTTAGAACATGTATTTCTTTCATATTATAAGGTATTTTAATATAAATACTCTAATCTTACATAAATCCTTCAATGGTATTGCTTTGGTTTAGAAATTAATTTCAGAGGAGCAGACGGATGTTAGCGGAGGTGATCCCAAACCAGGGCATTTTGCCTCTTCTATCACCACGGAACAGACATCCCGGTGGGGGGAGATTTACTAAATACGGGAAGGATCAACGCACATTGAGAACAAAAACGTCCTCTAGGGCCTCCTGGGGAAGAAGGATGAACAGCATCTTCTCTGTTGCTCCCACTCTTGAGTGGAGCAGCCGGCACAAGGAGAGCTCACGCAGCTCTCACAGAGGATCAGAGGAGAGAAAAACCAAGCTATTCCCTCTTCTTTCAAAGGCAGGACCTTATGTGCAAGGAGTGATGAGCTTCATGAAAGGAGAACAGCACACCCATAGCAGCTGATGCAGAGACGGAGGAGTACTTGAGGTGAAGAAAAAGAGCCTCCTGGGAATATTTTGGAAGACACTAACAGACAGAAGAAAGAAGAACCAAAATGTCTGAAAAACCCAGGTGCAACATAAAACCATCCACATTATGATTCTTCCTGGTAGCAGGGAAAATAAAAGCCCTGGTCAAGTTTACAACCCAAGTAGACACAAGAAGTTAGCAGCTTTAACCCTGGAGTGAGTGTGCTCCTGAGGAAAGGTCTGAAATACCCAGCAAAAGCCAGC